GTATGAGCTCAACTGAGTTTTCTTGGTATGGGCTAACACGCTGGTTTCCTGTCCTGCAGACTGATTATCTGCTGCTACTACTGGAAACAAAGCAATGTTACCAAAATTAAACTGATTACCTACCAGCTTTCATGACCCTATGAGCTACACTGCAAGTCTTTATTTGAAAAACACAAGTCACACTTCTTAGGAGCACAAGGAAGTTCCAGGAACCCTTCACAGGCAGGAGGTATCAATGATTACGCAGGGGTCTACTACTTTGTTGTGTAATGTGAGCAGTCTTTAACACACAGCTGGATCCAGCATCTACACTGGAGATGTCTTTACCAGAAGCTCCTTAGAGACCAGCAGCAAAAAAGTATTAAATGGAATTTAAAAAAAAAATAAAGCCAGTTGAAGCCAGCTGAGGGGCCTCATCTGGACAGGCCTGATGCATACACTGCAATGTATGCAAGACAAACTTCAGTTTGTCTTGAGGAACATGAAAAGCTTGCATCAGCTAAAATCTTGAGACTCTCAGAATAGAGGAATTCAATTTAAAATATGTGGCACAGGTATGTGGTATCCAGTTGGGTTAGACAAAAACCACAGATAAACTCAGCAGAAGTTCAAAATCAAACTTAAGATCACATGCAGATCAAGAGCCAGACCAAGAATTTATATTTTTTTTCTTTTAGTTGGAAAGGTTTCTAGGAAAAAGACCACTTGGGTCTGGATACATGCACTATCTGAACTCTTCCAAAAAGAATTGAAAAGATGCTTTTAACTTGGATTTGGACACCTTACCATGCTTTCATATGCCTAATTCTGTAAGAGATTATTCCTGATAAAAATAGTAATTTGTTAATTAAAGAGATTCGTTTCTATTAATTTGTTAATTAAAGAGAAAATAATGAAAAGAGCTTGCTTTATACATTATATAGTACATAAACACATATGTATGTGTGTCTATACATATATATGTATGTATAGATATATATATACTATATGCTACCAACAGTTTTCTTTACCATTCAGGTACTTTTGTTGATCTGAGAATTCCTGTGCCTTACGTATGTATCTAAATATATATTGTTTTAAATATGCTCCCTCTTGCTGTATACACATATTTTTAGTAATATTATCTATTAAACTCCTACTAAAAAGTAGTAGTGCATGTGAGTAATTCTGCAAATATGCTTGGTCAATTTCTATTTTAACTCTCACTTAGACTGCAGGAAAACGAGAACGTGAAGTCGAAGCTTTCAACGAATCTTTTTTTACTTTCTATGGAAAGTATGCATTTATATAGTAAAATGATGCCTGTTGACTAAGTCCTTACTCTTTACTTAATTATGTGGTCCACAAACTACACAATCCACAAAACTAATTAAACACACTGAAATTACTATCTTATCTTAAAATTAATTTTCAAGTGTATAATGACTTGTAGAAGTCTTTGGTATTAAGCAGCTGCTTCCTGCTTACTGCAAAAATGACCAGTTTACTTCCACTCAAGCAACAGTGAGAACATGCCTTTTTACCTAGGAAAGGAAAGTACGCTCAAGTCCTTTATACCTTGCTCTGCAGAAACATATAAGAGCAAATATATGGGAAATCAGATTGTTATTCAAATAGTGCCAACATTTCATTGCTGCAGTCCCTGTTCTACCTGGCACTTGTCTTGCAGTTCAGGTACAACTGCCCTTCCTTGCTGATTAAGCTTTCTTATTACTATGTAACTCAAATGTATATATTCATATTGAAGTTTGTACCCTGAATTGTTCTGAATGCTGTCAAGAATGCTATACAAACATGCTCCTCTTGAGTAAGCTTCTTAGCGTACTGTACTATGAAGCGTACTTTGTGTCTTTGTGTCTACACTCACTTGCTATCCAGATGAACAGTAACTGTGATATTTTAGCTTGAGCTACTCAAAAACATTACAGAATACTTACTTCAAGTAAAAAAGAAGCTGGAAAGTAGACTCCACTGTGATTACTAGGCTGACATTGGAACAGCAAGCAACAAGACTAGTTAACAATGTTTACAGTAATTTCCACCATGCTCAGTTCTAGTACTGATTTAGAGCTTCAAAGCTTGCTGAAATAGGAAAGGAAAGTCCAAATGGTGTGGCTGTGCACTCCTCCACCTGCAGCAAAACAATGTCAGGACCAACACATGCAACCACAGAAAGTTTTCTAGTGATCTAGCAGACAGATTAATACATGCAACGCTGGAAAGGTATGAAGCAGTGCGGCGAAAGCTATGAAGCAGTGTGGCAAACTGTTCACTCTTCTCACTTCAGAAAAAAAAAAAAAAAATCACCTTCATATAAAGGAAATAAAGGACATATAAAAGTGAATAAAGGACAACTGCAATCCCTGACCACAGTGCATCAAGTCAAAGGTCTATGATCAGTCTCTTCTCCAGCCCTCCTACTGCTAAGAATACCACAAGCTTTCCACAACTTTTTCAAGTCATGGTGTTTCCATAACACACCATGTGCTGTATTTTTTTAAATGCAGCAATGATCCACTGCTTAACTTTCTGAAGTAATGATGGTGACTCCCCTACATCCCATTGCTATTATCACTCCAGAATGACAGCAACTGAAGTTGACACCATACACCAAAGGAAACGGCTTTACTGCACTTGCAAAGTATCAAATTTGCAAACTGACACAAATTTTCAGACTTCTCCTAGTTAACACCAATGCTCCTGGTAGATTATCACAATTCACTTCTTTTTTCCTACTAATTCTTCAATTAGATTTTCTATGCAATTTATTCTCCAGCAGCAATTCTCAATTGCTTTCTTCACTAATTTCACTTCCGCCCTTAGCATTCTGAACAGAATGGGATCACTATAAGATTAGTAAACATATTCTGTTGTCAATTTCTACCTCCACTCTCTGAAATTCATATTTCCAGATCTAAAGGATAATTACAGCAACACTTCCCAAGTTACAGTTAACTATCTGTCCACAACTGCAGCTTGCTAAGGCACCTCACCTCACAGTGAAAATCATCTAGAGTACTGAAAAACTACAAATTAAAGTAAAAAAAATAACTCAGCTCTAACCCAAGGATAAGTCATATAAAAATATACTGTATTATTTTAATAATGGAACTAGGTTAGACAGAGGAGGGTTCCACAATTTAAAATAGCAAGTTTCCTCGCTTCACTTACATGAACAGCTTTCTGATAATGAACATGAAAACAAATTTTCCAAGGCCTGCCTGTGAATTAGACTATGGGGTTATCAAGTGATACAAGCCTAGGAAAAACAGTTGTTGCAATTTTAAATTTTTTTTAAGTTTTAAGATGTGCTCAGCAGGACATTTAAGATGAAGAATAAAGTCTCGCTTCCCAGGCAAATATGAAGTTTTGAGTACTGTGCATCCTCCTGATACTTATTTTTCATTAAATTCATGGGAGCTTTATGACATTGAATTGTTTTAGGCTTATGAACTGCTACAGCTTTTGAATAACTTTGATATACAGATATTTATGGGCAATCATAGTTCAATACAAAATAGTTTCTCCACAGACCTTTAGCAAGGTGGTTTCTTTCAAGTAATAAGGAAATTCACACACTACCTTGTCCCAGGTAGGTTCATGTTTGTTGAAAGGTTTTGCTTTGTCTTTTTTTTTTTTTAAAGTAACAAACAGTATTTTGCCCCAGAAGAGAATCCAAATTTGGCTATTAACTGTAACAGTATCAACTTTATAGGAAGCAGAAATCTTCAAAAATTACTATATGTTAGAGCTTATGAATTATTCACAAAATCGAAAATCTACTGTTTTTCCATGTTTAACTACTGTTTCCATGTATAACAAGAAGTTTGACTTAAATATACACAAGAATTTAAAAAGTCTCTTTAGTTTCACTGTTTATAAATTTCTTTGTAATTTGCACCCAGGGTCACCTAAAACAATTCTCTCTTCCCTGCCTTTCCAGTCCATCATACACTGCACAAGTTTGATGGCCAGACATGCTGGCTGATTAGCTGGCAGGTATATGCTCTTCATTTCTTCTCTTGAGGAAATCATTCAGATCTCGTTCTACCCAACTACAAGTTTCATAGTCTGCAAAATGCAGTCTTCATTATGGCTCTCTGACTGACAGAATTAACTAACCAGTTCAACAGGCTGTAATCTGACAGGAAGAGGGGCAGAAAAACAGCACAGTCACAAACCACCTCTTGCAGGAGAAGTCTAAGACTCACCTTTTATTGCCAAGTTGATTATTAAACATCAAGGTTCATCATATTTCCAGTTTCAGAAATCTACACTTTGTAGTGCAGGAGGGGCTTTTTGAACTTGGAACTGTTCTAGTAAGTGAATTTTATTCCACCCCTACAAATGGGCTGTCACTCTGCAGGGACGCAAGGACATTCTAATCAGGCTCTTCCTTGATGGAAGAAAGACTTGATGGAAGACTATAATTTGACATTAGAGGACTGATTTTAGGTTTCTTTTTAAGTTAAGAACACAGCTGGAAAACAGTCCTTTCACTTCCAAAAACAAAGTTAACATTTTCAGCTATACTAGTCTGACAGTTCTGAAGAACAACAGAATCATAAAGTATTTCATTTCAAAAACCAGTGTGAACCACTGCCCCTTTAAAGACACCCTAATTAGGTTTTTATACAACACCTATTACGCATGTGTGCCTTGCACTTTACAGAGGACAGCTTTAACCTTTAAATTCAAAGTTTTTCATAGTTCAGGAACTTTTTTTCTCAAGAAAGATACTATCCTGCTGGATGCTGACATGGCTTTAATACTACTTCATCTTTATTATGTAAGACATACACATGATCACTCCCATTCTTAGCTGAAATGACATGAAAGTAACAAGCAGATTAAGCACCTGTGAGAAAGCAAAGCCAGACTTCCTAACTATGACCTGCCTGCCAAACACCACATATAAGCATTCAAATATAAATTAGTTTCAGTAAACAAAATATAAGAAAATACATAACCAAGAATAACTGAAATAATCAAGTGCTTACCTTGACTCTCCACTACTGTTTCTTACACTTTCTTCATCACTGTGCCCATTCATTGTAAATATTAAAAAGTTTAAAAAAATAAATAAAAGTCCACTCAAGTTACAAGGTGGATATCACGAATCCACTTCTTGCTACTCTGTATGTTTTCCAGATGCTGTACGTGTTTGCTTTAGTGTTCTCAGTGGGTACTCAAGATTTCTCCCAAAATACCTGAAATCGGAAAAGAAAACATTAACACAATTCTAAAGCATGTGTGCAATTAAAGACATACCAAAAATAAACTGGGTTTTTTTTCCACTAACACTGAAAGGGGGTATGTTTGACATCATGTCTGTAACTCAAAAATAGCATTTTTGTGTGTGTCACCTGTTCATGGCTGATCATTTTATCACCATTTCCTTTTCTGAGAAAAAAAAATTCCTGCTCTCTGTGAAAACAACAAAAAATAATGTCCAGAGAACAACAAGTCATCATATTAGTTATTTTAAAAAACCGTAAGATCTAAATAAAATACACGAAATGCAGGGAAAATGTCTTGCATTTTGACTGCAGTGGGGCTCTAGCATACTTTTTTTTTGCCATCACACTTCTTTATGCAACTTTTCATGGATGGTGCTATAAAGATGGCAATTTCTGCTGAACTACTAGCTGCAGAATAGGAAAAATTACAGAAATTACATTTTCTTTAGTACTGCAGGGTGAGAACAGTTTACTGGCTATCTGCACTGTATGTCATGTCTTAACTTTGGGCATACTATTGAATTTAGGACAAAACAGATCTAAATATTAAAGAAAAAACGCCTATTGGAAGAGATAGGTAATATTAATGTTTTTCTAAGATCTGCTTAGCAGATCTTAGAGAAGTGTATTCCATGCACAAAACATAGTGGAACATGCACAAAACATTTCCAGGAACACACGTAATTTGCATTTGTGGGAAGGAGCAGGAAGATAAAAGACCATACTGTTTAACACGAGCTCCCACTAAATCACACCAGCAAGATCCCTAAGATGGAATGAACATTATTCCATATACATCAGTCTCCTACTCCAGATCACTGCACAATCAGTATTCGATTCAGCCAGAGAAAGTTTAGGCGCACGGTAAAGGGGCCACAAGTGTAAGCTCAGTGATAATCAGATCAACTTGCGCCCTCACAGACTTAGCGGAGCGAAGGCGATTAGGGTCTTGCCTGCCCCGGGGTGCTCCCCAGGAACAAGCCACAGCCCAACCCCGAGCCCATCGAGGCGGTGTTGAGGGAAGTCTCGCTCTGGGGCGGGCACTGCCCTGCGCTCACACGGCCGGGCCGCTTCGAGCCGCAAACAATGGCGATGATGGACGGGATCGCGATCGGAAGGAGCCCTGCATCCACAGCAGGCCGCGATGCGTGACCGGGGACCCCGCGGGAGAGCAGAGGGCGCGCCAGGCGATCCCGCGCCGGCACGAACGGCCGCGCCTTGGGCACCCGGTAAACACCGCGGGCGGCGGCAAAACTTTCTCTCCGCCGCCCGTTCTCTGCTCCAGGCCGACCCGATCCT